GGGAAAAGTAAGGAGGGAAAAAGGGTGGTTATGTCTCTTTTCCCCCAGTTTTTAAATATTAAAAAATCTGAATCTCATTAACCACTTCAAAGTTTTTCATTATATATTCTTTTTGGTTTTTAAAAAAATCAGTTCTACAACATAAAAAAAAAAATTAAAAAAAAATAAAAAACTTTTCTGAACCTAACTTTAAGACAGCCTACACACTGAAACATCAAATATAATAAAATACTACACAAATCTAATATCACTAGAACGAAGTTTGGAATTAAAGTTAAATAACAAAATTTAAAAACAAAAATGCATACATGGTATTCCCAATTTTTAGGCTTGTTTATTTTCTTTATTCTGTTTGGCAGAGACTGCCTCAAAAGAGTGGTTGAAGCCTCAGGATACTTCCTTATCAGTGAAATCTGGGGGTAAAAAAAATGCAAAAAAATTGAATACTCTTATAGGCTTCTAAATTGAAAACATATAAATGGGCAACCACCAAGAGCAAGATGAATTTTAATAATTTCGGTGCAATGTCTAAAATTAGTTATGGTAATCTCTAAAGAATAAAATGCAGATACCTTAAAAGTAGTGGTCCTATAAAAGTAATATTTCATATTATTTGTTATCTTGTACAAAATCTAAATATAATTTTAATATAAGTATTCCACTTGTAGCAAAATATTTTCTTTATTAACTATCTAATATTAAAGTTTCTTCCCTCAAGTGTTATGCAGAACATATACAGTAAGATGTAGCTACTGTGTAGGTTAAGTCAGTAATAAAGACGGGCTCCCTTTTGATGGTTATTAATTGGTTACAAAGTGACAATGCAAACTTTCAGATTAAAATTTAAAGAAAAAAAAATCAATGTCTAACATAAACAAAAAAGCTTTACATTACATGTTGATGTACCATTTATCTTTTGAAATATGAATCCCTTATTACAGTACATAAACCTGCAGTACTGTATCTTCATTTAAAAGGTAAAACACAAACTTATTTAACAAATTACCTACCTGTTAGGGCAGTAATTCAGATGGGATCCAAACGCTCTTTCTCTACCGATGTTCAACATGTGCGTTGCTTTTCTTCCCTATTATGTATTTCCCTACCACTTCATGCATCGGAAACAATAACAAACAAATTTTGAATTTGCCTCGTGGCCCCATCGCTTATCTGAGAGATGGCTATGAGTTGGTCCTTTTCTATAAGTAAACCATGGCCAATGTCAATCTATTGGAAGATAGATAATTATTTACTATTTATTAGTAAACTTTCCTCCCACATTTACGCATGCTATTAGTATTTGACTGTCAATGGACATCCATGAAAAATATTCACACCCCAGTTATTTATACCATATTTTTTGGTCAACAAAATATAATTATGCTTAAAATATTTCAAACTTTAATTATAGCATAATTGAAAACTTCCTATGTGTAGAATATGAGTATATTAAAAAGTTCCAGCTATTGATGTTTTTGGGCATGACTTGTGTGGTTGTCGAATTTAAAATACCAATTATTGAGGTCAGACAGTTGACAGTTATACAATCATTCATTTTGAAAAAGAGTGAAGTATATTGAACTGTGCAAAAAACAAGTCTCAATACAATAAATAAATGATATTTAAAGAAAAAAAATGCATTTTTTTTTTTTCAAATTTCCTGCCTAGGCTTGTAAGGCTTAGCTAGGCTAGGTACTGTGTACTATAGGCCCTAGGTTAAAGAAGAGGCCTAAGCCTAGGCTAGGCCTAGGTAAGCAAAAAAAAAACAACGATTTTTCTTTTGTGTCCCAACGCCCGTACCTGAGCTGTTGCACTTTTTTTTACTCAATTCTTAGGTTTAGCCTAGGCCTAGCCTAAACAGTACACATACGAACAGAAACACTGCCACTGCACTGACGAACTGACTGAACTAAACTTGATACTTAGCTACAAAAGTATATCTAGGCATGGGCTAGACTAAGTAACTAGGCGTAATGTGGAAGGCGTACATTTATGGACGAAAGGAGATTAAGTTTTCTTTACTTACCACAATAATACTGACTGTGCATAGGCCTAGACTTTGGCATGGTGCGGACTCTTCTTTTTTCAAATGGCAATAGAATAGAATAGGCCTAGCGGCTATCCTATGCTAGGCCTAGGTTGAGTTTCAACGGAAGAACGTCCATTTAACTAGTACATAGACATTGCTACAGGTAATAACCATTTCAATAAAATATCAGTTTGCGATCATTACCCCAATTATTACTGAACAAAAGGAGGATATCACAACAACAAAGGGTGCAGCAAGCGAGAGAGATGTCGATGAAGACCGTTCCGTTAGCTTTCAAATTTCACCACCCAGTTGAGGAATGTACCATGTTTAATAAAGGGGGTGGGGAAACCATTTAAGACCAGTTATAATTCTTATTAAATGCATTTATATAAAACCTTCTGTAATTAATCATTTGTTTTGTGTAGGACAGTATAAATAATATAGCATTTCATATTTCATACAATAAATAATTTACTAAATCGTACATCTCAACTCATAAATTGGACCCCTATCACGGTCTGATCCATTGTCTGGTTATTGAAAACGATGTCTCTCTCCTGGCATCTGGAATGATGATTAAAGTAGTTAGGTTTTAAGTTACACTAACAGTAACTTTAAAATGGTCACCATAATGGTGGTTTGTGGTTAATGATTTTGTAAGATTAATTAAGTATTTGTTACAGATATGTGCATTAAATTCATTTTTCATTTCAATTTTAAAATGTGGTGTAAGGCTAAGTATTTGCTGTTTTTAACATTTAATTAAATGTTTAATTTAATGTATAATTTAACTTAAATGTTTAAATTAAATGCTTAATTTAATGTTTTTAACATTTTAACTTAAAATGTGAGCATGCTAATTGATACTGTAACTTATGCATCTGTTATATATTTTCAAACAGATATTCTATAGAATTCCTAGACAACTTCTAAAGCAAATGTTATAGATGTCTATAGAATTTTCTATAGAATTTCTATACAGGTTCTAAAGAGAATGTTATAGACTTCTATAAAAAAAATTCCAGAAATATGAAGCATAATTATTTGCGACAAAAATAATAATGATACACATATTAAACTCTATGCATTATTTAGTTACTCAACATCAGACCATGAGCCAAATGCAATAGTTTTATTAATTATTTATTATTATTATTATTATTATTATTATTATTATTATTATTATTATTATTATTATTATTTAATAATCATGTTTCATATTCAAAACCAAGCTTCTGCAATAACACATTTATTGAAAATCCACTGTAGGTTACCAATACATAAATTGTGCACAAACTAATTTTTTATAGAGTGGAATACAACATTCTATAGAAAATATTTAAAATTCTATAGAATGCGTAAACTCTATAAAACATTTCTATAGAATTTTTTTGCCTCTATAGAGTTACATAGAACTCTATATAAAGTTCTATAGAATTCTATAGAGCTCTATAGAACTTTTTTGTATGGGACTGTTCGGAAAAGAGTAGGGGATTGTCTCCCGGTGTACTGCCCAATCACCACCAGAAGGACCCCACTGGAAATAAGTCTTTTTCTAGACTTTCGTGGGCTATCCTTGGTGTTTACACCGAATAAATCCAATCCAATCCAATCGATGAAATATAACATACGTAGTAAGTGTAGTAGGAACATTTCAAATGTCATGGTTGAACGCGTTTCTGCAGACGTCAATGCGTTACAGATACTCAATGTCAACGCATTTCCTTCTGAAGCACGGCGTAAAAAAACTGTTACAAAATAGTCAATTTTTACCATAATTCAAACAACTATCACTTTAAAAACAACAGTTTAAAAATATATGCAAATGTGTGTTTGTAGGACAACACCTGTGTTTTAAACGTAAGTAAACAGCCAGAAATAGAACCAGAGCTTTCGGACAACACTAGTCCTTCCTCAGTGGCGAGTGAGTGAGGGTTACTAAATCGAAATTTCGGATTACTTTAATCTGAATTTCGGATTAGGCCTACTAATAGGCTTATATAATACGCACGAATAGGCTTTCGTAACAATTAGACTACACTTCAGTAAAAAATTATGGTTTTTTCATTGCATTCGTTAAAATAATAATTAAAAAGTAATAGTAATAGGTAAAATAATACGTTTTCACTTTAGTGTGATTTTGAAAATAACACAATAGGCCTATATAAAGGTTATAAGGATCTACGCACGCTCATAAAACACACACAGTAGGCCTACTTCGCGCCGCCGATTTAATTACATTGCGTCGGTATTTCCTGGGTACGCGCGAATAAGCGCTTCGTTTGAATAAGCACCCCTCTCGAATAACCGCCCCTAACGTGAAAATGTCCTTAAGCGCCCCGTTTGAATAAGCGCCCACTTTTAATTTCATAAATGATTAAAAATCTTCTTAAAAAAAACAATTAAGATCTTTTTAGCAAGTCAATAATCCAATCAATACTGGAACTGTGGTTGTTGGCATGATTTGAGCTGCAGAGTGGAAACACATTCTTCATAGGTCAATATCAAAATGAGTATATTTCTCTTGAACAGATGAGAGCTCCGATCCCTGGACAGACAGTATATTTCCAACTTTACTCTTTTTACATAAATGTCTATGCCTAGTCCTAGTCCTACTCCTTTTTTTCTTTTTCCGACCTTTAGCACATTCTCATATAAGTTTCAAGAAAAAATACAATGATCTTGCTATCCTGCTAATCTCAATCGGCCGATGGCCAACAAGCTAACCACTACCCACACCACCACTATTGTATCTATTTTGCTATTATGACATTCACGCATCTTTGTCATGAGCCATGTTCGCTGGACGATTATCATTTCCGCCTAACCACCATTCGTGATGTCCTTAAATAATCTTTTTTCATTCAAAAAGTGCCTCTTCCATAAGAACCCCTCGATTTTCATCTATTTCCATAAGCGTCCCCTCAATTTCCACTATGTTTTCACAAGCGCCCCGTTCGAATAAGCGCCCCGTTTAAATATGCGCCCCTAAAAAAAATTTGCAAAAAATAATAGAACGTACTCGCGCGATTAAGCGCCCCGTTTGAACGTGAAAATTTCCTTAAGCGCCCCGTTTGAATAAGCTCCCCCTTCTAATTTGAATAAGCGCCCCTCATAAGATTTTCTTTTTTGCAAGTCAATAATCTTATCAATCCTGTTGGCACTTGTTGTTGGCATGATTTGAGCTGTAGAGAGGAAGTGACATTCTTCCTTCGGTCAATGTCAAAATGAGGATATATCTCTTGGACAAATGAGAGCTCCGATCCCTGGATGGACAGACAGTATATTTCCAACTTTACTCTCTTTACATATTTGTCTATGCCTAGTCTTACGCCTCTTTTTTCCTTTTTCCGACCTTCTTTAGCACATTCTCATCTCAGTGAGTTTTCAAGAAAAAATAAAATGATCCGACCATCCTACTTATCTCAATCGGCCGATGGCCAACAAGCTAACCATACCCACCACCACTAATTGCATCTGCTATTTTGCTGTTAAGTAAATATTCTCGCATTCTTGTCATAAGCCATGTTCTCTGGACGATCATCTTTTCTAATCACCATTCGTAATGTCCTTATATAATCTTTTTTCGTTCAAAAAGTGCCTCTTGAATTTATAATTTCCCATAAGAACCCCTCAATTTTCATCTATTTCCATAAGCGCCCCTCAATTTCCACTCCTTTTCATAAGCGCCCGTTTAAATAAGCGCCCCGTTTAAATAAGCAATATTTGCAAAAAAATATTTTAAGCGTCTTATTCGCGCGAGTACGGTAGGCCTACTAGACTTGCCACAAGTCTCTAATTTCTTTATTTTTCGCAGTATTAGCACATTCCGGAAAGCGCCACCAGCGTCAATTTAAGTCGAGAAACTTTTTTATGCCAAGAATAAGTATACTATGAAACGCCAAACAAATAGGTAATATGGCACGCCATTAGTGCCAAAATCTATTTTTTCAGCTTTTTAACTGATTAAGACAAAGATTAGGGACCGGAACCAAGTCTATAGGCCTACTTACACAATACACACACACGCATATCCCTATTCAAAATCAATTACTTTCAAGCGGATTCCAATTCTTAAAAAAAGCTCCAATTTGCTTGGCGGTTTGAATCCCGGTTGGGAGAATGTCCATCTACAATTTATAAGGAGCTGTAAGTTGGCATTCGGCTGGTAGCCTAATATCAGTTTAAGGATTTTGTTTGTAGGCCCTTAAAAACGTTTTTTCCCCATACAAAATTACCCCTCCTTTGAGACACTCCTGGGGACACACTATAAAGGGGACGCTTTTTCATGACAAAGGGAATTATATCTTTTAACAATACGGCCAACCCTTATTAAGGTGACCTATGCTATGTATACACAACACATAATAGTAGTCTGTCGACTGTTCTAAGCTTACAACATATCGAAACATTTTTTCTTCCTGAGTCTGACTTTAAAAATCTACAAGAATTCGCATTTTTCTTGAAAATGCATGTTTCTTCAGATGGATGGGTGGCAAAATGCATACTACCACTACTCGATAATCTCATGGTTTAAACTCACAGCATTCTTGTCATGAGCCATGATGCTCCGGGCGAATGATCGCTTCTCTGCACCCGACCAGTTTCTTAATCTTCGGTATGTCCTCGCAGGGGTGGCGCCAGGATTTGCCTGACAAGGGGTGGGGGGAGAGGTCCCCGACGGGGGGACCGATTCCCCGACGATCCCCCTCCGACGAAGGATCAGATTTCCCCGACGAAAGCAAAGTGGGCGTGGTCGAGCTGCAATTAAAAGTTTTTGAAAGTGGTCCACTAATAGGCCTATGTAGAAAATACATATAATTTTTTTTTCTTCCCGATGAATTGTGCTCTTCTCCCCCCACCCCCCTTAATCCCTTCTTTTCATAAGCGCCCTCAAAAAAGTGCCAAAAATATTTTGTTGGCACTAAAACTAATCCTCTTTTAAGTACAGTAGATGAATATTTAGCGAAAGAGCTACAAATTATACCTATATATTTTTTTTATGGGCATTATAAATTTTTGCGTGAGGCGGATGTCCGACGGGTGGGAATGTGGGAATATGTCCCCGCTGGCGCCACCCTG